AAGTATGACAGAAACTAGAGGTAACAAATACCAAATATAAGGTAGCTGCAGACAACCATCAGTGCTCTAAACTGTTCAAGGAAGGAGATTCAGTAATGGTGTTTTTGCGCAAAGACAGATTTCTAGTGGGCACGTACAACAAATTGAAGCCTCGCAAGTGTGGTCCATATAGGGTGTTGAAGAAAATAAATGACAATGCTTATGTGATTGAGCTACCAGACGACATGAAGATTTCCAAGACTTTTAATGTAGTTGATTTATATGAGTATCATGCTAAAGAACCCCTCTATCCAGAATCGAACTTGAGGTCGAGTTCTCTTTAAGAAGAAGGGACTGATGTAGAACAAGTAGCCGAAGACTTCTTTGAACAATTAGACCAACAAAAGGCAAGAAAGAAATCAAATTGAGAGCAATAACGACACTTTTGGGGAGCTCGGAATTGTCTCAAATTTGGTAGTCTAATCGAAAACGGCGTTTTAAATTGAAATCATAGTCGTTCTCGACGATGATGGATGGTGGATTTTAGTCAAATTCCTTCGTTTAGGCATTCAAATTAGCAATTTTTCCGTTTTAGGAAAGTTTCATTTTGGGAATAACTTTATTTTGGGAAGTCCGTTTTAGCGTCGTCTATTTTGGCACATTTCTATTGTTTCCTAGTATGCAGATTTGGGCTTAAACTCATATTCTCTATTTTTGGTAATTTTCTGTTTATTTTCGTGTCTAGCAAGGAATTATTGAATTCCTTGTTTCCTTATTTAATTAGGGTTCAGTTTATAAAACGTATGTATGCCTTAGGGCAAATCATCTTTGATGCAATATAATTCAGTTCTTGAATTTGTTTTTTATTTTTTTTCCTTCCTTGTGGATTCAAGGATTTTGTTCGTCTGCTAGGACAATATAACGATATCTAGCCTCGTGTGATTTATTCTGTTGCGCCAGTCTCTCTTTCTCTCTACTCTCTTTCTCTCTCTCTCTCTCTCTCTCTCTCTCTCCATATATATATATATATATATATATATATATATATATATATATATTTCTCTATGTAAAATCAAGCGAAAATGAGGTACTGTAACAGCAACAACGCCGATTCCAAGGCCACTCGCATGGCTCGGTGGCACTCCACCGGCATTGTCACCTTGCGCGACTCCAAATTGTAGGTTCCTTTCTCTTCTCATTCTTCAATCCATCAATTTTTCATGTATATATACATTTTGTGTGTGTGTGTGTGTGTGTGTGTGTATGATTGTGTGTATTTTTTGTTGTATTTCTATTTTTGTATGTATCACTTGGCTTTGATTTCTTAGATAGTCTGCAAATTTTGAAATTTGAATTCTTAAATCATAGGTGAATATTCATTAAGTGATTTATCTACTATGATTTAAATTTTAAATTTCAATTTTTAGTAGTCAATTGATGTTTTTTTCTTTTTAAAAAATAATGAAAAAGCAAGATAATTGGGTTGGGAGTTTGAAGCTCCATTTTCTTTATGGTTAGAAACTCCATTTTCCTTGTATAATCATTTTAATCTTGGATTATGTCTTAATTGCGACAAGCCATGATGTTAGGCCATCATGGTAGATGTTAACAATAATTAACTCACACAATTTCACAATAAAATTTGATATGCATATAAATTTGTTAATTATGAAGATTGTTGGGGGTAATATTATCATAATCACTTGATAGCATAAATAATTTGTATCAAACTACAGCGTCATGCGGGGGGTGGGGGGTGAAGCATTAAAAGAGATAAGCTCCATAAACTCAAAAAAGTGATCATAAATTTACTTAGACTTTTAAATCAATGGTGTGTATTTAACCTTATTATTGTGGGACCAAATTATGAATAAATCTCAACCTTTAATTATAGTTTCTAAGTGGTTTTTTGAATTTTTTAGTGTGAGTTTGTTACCCTACTCATAGAAAAACCTCTCAAACAAATGAATAAATCATCAATTGATCATGTTAGCAACTTTCCATAATCAATGACACATGCATATCATACGAGTATAATTAATTCTCCATAATCATTTTCTTCATTGCTTGAATAATACTTGCATAGTTCCTACAATATTTAAGAAAAAAAAATAAAAATAAGAACTTAGAAAGATTATAAAAATTATAGTTTTAATCCATTTTATTTATAATATAGGCTACTCAACGAAACAATGGTCGAATATAACTAAAGTCATGGACATTAAATTAAATCATATGAACTCTAATAATCAACTAATAATAATAAAGAGAGATCGACAAATATGTAGTACCTCCCTATCATTTCTGTGTTCTATTCATTAATTTCATATGTCGTATGAAAGTGTTACTCAAATGGATCCTTCAATAAAATAAGTATCAAGAAAACAAATTTGTTAAGAAATTAATTCTAAACTTCATTATTAGTAAAACAAAATTTTCAAAGAGAGACTAAATTGAGAGATAGGATTGAAGAAATACTATACACACACACACACACACACATAGAGCAATGATCCAATGCAAACTATTTCAACAGTTAAAAGAAATAACATCAAATTATTACCTTGAATAAATATAGTGACGAAATTTATTTTGCAAGATTTTTATACTGCATCCTCTCATGTAGCCTTCGTCATTATATTATTAATACTCTTCTTATTCTGAGCCAACATAGTCTTCCTATTCATCTGTATGAATTTATAACAAATTCTTAAATGATTTTCAAACAATATGGAATTACATTCTAATAATATAATTGCTTTGCAATCAACAACTAAAATAGAGATAATCTAACCAAATCTAAGTACAATTTATTCAAAACATAAAGGCACATATGAATAAAATCCTAAATCATTTGAAAATATGGACATTCAAGGTGCTCTTGTGCGTTTTGTGTTTTTTCATCTTAAGAAATTAAACTATGGGAAGTTAAAGATAAAGGAGAGAAAAAAATCAAACAAAAGGGATAAGTATTGATTGGAAAAATATATATATATATATATATTATCTCTATCACTTAATCAATAATAACGAATAATAAAAATTATGAGCAGAAGATCAAGAATTTGAAAGGAGATACGAAGTTATAGATAAGAACAAATCATATCCTTATTTAAATTTCATTATTTCGAATTTTTTAATTTTTAATATATGTGATAGAGGGAGAGAAAAATAGGAGTAAATCCAAATAAAGATTTAGATAATGCTTTTGGTAGATATAGATTAACAAATCATATTCTTATTTATATCTAAATTTCATTATTTCAATTTTTTTAATTTTTATTATATTAAAAAATTAGAAATTAGGGAAATGAGGTAGGGAGACTTCAAAAACTGCCACGTAGGAGAGAACTTTGAGATATTGGTATTGAGGTTTTGAAGAATTTTAAGAATGCATTACATTTGCTTATATATATAGTATAGATAGATATAAATAAGTAAAGAATTAACTATTATTTTAATTAAATTTTTATAAAAAGTTATATTCAAAAAATAAAAAGAAAAATTAATTTTTTGACAATAATTTTTTAACTAATAGTTACCAAAACAATCGTATAAATACCAAATCAGTGATTGTATTCCAAAAAGATGTCACAATTGCTCTACAACTCTCTCTGTCTCTGTCTGTCTCCCTGTGTTTGCTGCCACGGTGGAAAGTATAGAAGGGGGAGTTGTTCTAAGCGGCAGAGCAACTCGTCTCCTCTCATCTCAGGTACTCCCTCTTCCCATTTGATTTTGTTTTGCTGTTTTGTTGATAATTATTATGGGAAATTATAAAAAAATAATAAAAATAATTTGATTTTGTTTTGCTGTTTTGTTGATAATTATTATGGGAAATTATAAAAATAAATAAATAAATAATAAAATTTAACACTGATGAGAGGGTAATTTTTGAGAAAAATTGGGCCAAGCTGTGAATTGGGCTTTGTGGCCCAAAGTACGAACGACTGAGTAAAAATGCCGTAATGATTACTCCGGCCCAATAGAAATAGTTACTCCGGCCCAAGAAAGACAAAGTTACTTCGGCTCAAGAATAGTAAAGCTACTTTAGTCCGGGCAAGTTGGAGCTACGCCGGTCTCAGAGTTAGTCCGATCGTGATGTATCTTGAATAGGTCGGTCTAGCGGTATTTTTGAGTTAGACCGACCTAGGAGTAATACCGGTCGCGATTTGTTAAGTTTGGTCCAGCTGTGCTATGGGTTGAGCAGAGAACCGAGATGAGGAGTAAAAGCAGAACCGAACTAAGAATAGTTCGGCCTACTCAGTGGCTCTGCATAGCCAAGCTTATTTCGGTCATATCATAGTTCGGCCAAAGTAAAAACCATCCCACTTGGTTTAAGCAGTGGGGGGGTGTAAAAGGATAAGCATTATCCTTAGGAGTTGAATCCTAGGAGGACTCTGCATGGAGAAATAAAAGTCCTACTAGGATTGTGCCATTCGAAACTTATAAAAGCTCACAAACATCACCTTGGTGGAGGTAACACACAACTTTGCTTTCTGAATTCACAGAGCTTTGTCTATTTGTCAAGTTTGCTGACTTAGGCATCGGAGAGGTTTCCGGCACACACCCGCCGGCTAGCTCACGTTTTTTTTTTCTTTTTTTTGTAAATTGAGGTTCATGTTTTGTTTTTTTTTTTCTGACTGTAGATCTACTAATTATATTTTTTTTGGAATTCAGTTTGTTTTTCAAACTAAAACAAGTTAAAAGTTTTTTTTTTTTTTTTTGCTTTTTTAAAAAAAAAATAAAAAAATAATATGACTCAAAAAAGTCAAAAAAAAATTGAAAATTTAACTGTTAGCCGAGTTTTCAAAAACAATCTTCCCGACCACAATTTTTTTTTAATTTTTTTTCCCCTTCAATATAACTTACTTGGGTCCTTTCCTTACTACTGCAAGCAGCGAAAGAAATGGAAGGTTTCAATATGGAAGGATCAAATCCATCATCATCCTCGGTGTGTCTTTGTGTGAGCACAACCAAACCTTCTGGTGAACAAAAAACGCGTTGGTTTATAATCAATTTCAATGACGCAACATCTATCCTTGGGCCCTGTCACAAAGAAAATGTCAATGGAAAAAGAAGCCAAGAGAAGAGCCAATCTGGTTAAGAAGATAACTGAGATGTTTATTAGTGGAGGGAAAGTGGAGGAGATGGAGGAGTTCTTCTCCACCCCAGTCGCCCCGGTGTGTGAGACCCCTAATATGGCAGCAATTGGTTGTTTTTGGACTACATTGGGATCGGTTGTATACTGCTTTGGGGACACACGAGGTAGTCACATAGTCAAGTATTGGGACCTTGCAGAGATTCAAAAAGGCATGGAGGCATTAAGCCCTGGGGTGGTTCTAGCACCAACTGTGGTTCAGAGGCGTGGGCAGAAGTGTTTGATGCTTCCAATAATGAATGGAAACCATTGAAACAACCTTCCTTCCGTGTGCCCTCTATGTATATGTTTCTGTTACCCATGCATAATGAAAAAATCATTATTGTACAATAATGATCACTGTATAAGCACGGGTTGTATGCTTATCATGTTTGTCAAGATTCATGGGATGTGGTGGAAGAAAAATTTGAGCTCATATCTCCATATTGTGATCCAGTATTGGCTAGTCATGTTGGAAAAATTGGTTTATTATATGGCATATTTTGGGCAGACTTTGAGGCCAAAATTGAGTGGGCCCAAACGTCTTTTGGGGTAGGTCCGAAGAGGTAACGTGTTACTTGTCGCGTGGCAAGTAACACGGTAAAGACGGAACGTCAAAACCATTTATGAGTGAATGGGAAGTTGACGTTGTTTTCGGGTCTAACATTAATTTTTTAGATAAAATTCTTTTGAATTTTTTCAATAAAAATTATTGTGGGAATTTAATTTAATTCTAAATTCAAATTTTGGGTTCTTAAGTGGTTTCCTAGAGTTTGTACCTCTTCCTTTATTTATTAAACTATTTCAATAGTTTAATATATATATATATTTTTTAAATAGTTTAATTAACAAAGTTCCAATAGTTTGAAACAGTTCCAGTAACGGACCACTTTTCAATTGTTTGAATTTTAGTGTTCCTGTTCAAACGGTCAAAATTGTTTGAATTAAAAAAGTGCATCTGTTCATTCAAATGTGTTGTACCTGTTCGGGCTATTAACTGTCACTATGTTGCCTATAAATAGAGAATCTATTCCAGCAGTCTACATACTTAGAGAAATCCGAAAAAAAACAGTCTGAAAAATAAATATTGTTGTCCAGAATTTTTCCTTTGCATTTTATTCTTCATTCTAGTTTTAGAATAAATATTCAGAGAGTTAGATCACAGGTTTGGTTCGCCGAACAATTTGTTTTGGAGTGCTACTACAAATTGGTTAAGATCATTGTATCCTGGGAGATAGACGCCACTCAACCGTAAGCACGTAGCGGGGCGAATCTGTCTTAAGGATAGAGTGTCACACACTCGACTTGGTCTTTTATTTTTAATTCGATTCGATAAATAAATTCGGTACATTATTTATTTATTTTGCTTGATTTATTTCAATTTATTTTATTTACACAGAAGATTGTTCCAACAATCGTAAGACAGAATCGAATTTATTCTGTTTACAGAATTTTTTCGTTTGTTTCCTTTTCTCTTTCTTCTTTTAAGGAAAATTATTTTCTGTGGATTTACAAAATAATATTCTAGTTGGAAAAACAAATAGTGATTATATGCTATTTGACAGATAGTAGTAATATACTGTCTATTTTCTTTGACAACTAGTAGTACGATACTGGTGTAATTAACAATTCAGAATATATTTTTGTGAAATTTTTTCAGAAATTAATTTTGGGTTATTTTCTGAGTTTTCATTACTTAAAATTCTGTTTTAGTATTTTAATTATTGAAGTCTTACAGAAATTAATTTTCTGTGTGGAATTAATTTGGTTGAATAAAATTTTATTTTATTTTCAAATTAATTGAAAAAATAAAAGTTATTTTCTTATTTCTTTTATTTTACAGAATTTAATTTCCTGTGTGGAATTAATTTGGTTGAATAAAATTTTATTTTATTTCCAAATTAATTGGAAAATAAAAGTTATATTCTTGTTTCTTTTATTTTTACAGAATTTAATTCTGTGAATTTGGTTTAATTTTCTGTGTAGTGTAAATTCTAATTCTAATTTTATTTTATAAATTAGAATTGATGGCTACTGAAACAAATGACCAAACAAGTATTACTGTGGTGGCTGTAATTGCACCAACCCCCTCTCCTGTGGTGATAGTACCAATAAATCATAGAGAGAAGCCAGAGAAGTTCTCAGGAACTGACTTTAAAAGATGGCAACAGAAAATGTTGTTCTATCTTACAACTCTAAACCTGGCTCGTTTCCTCCGTAAAGATGCTCCTATCTTGAAAGAGGATGAAACCGACCGGCAAGTGGCTGCTACGGTTGATGCCTGGAAACATGCTGATTTTCTTTGCCGGAATTACATCTTAAACGGACTTGACAACACATTATACAACGTCTACAATCCAATCAAGACAGCAAATGAACTTTGGAAATCGTTGGAGAAAAAGTACAAAATGGAAGATGCCGGCTCAAAGAAATTTGTGGTTAGCAGATTCCTGGATTTTGTAATGGTTGATTCAAAAACTGTGATCAGCCAAGCTCAAGATTTCCAACTCATTCTTTATGACATTCACGCAGAAGGCATGTCTCTCAGTGAATACTTCCAAGTTGCAGCCTTAATTGAAAAATTACCAAAAGGCTGGAAAGAATTCAAGAACTACCTCAAACACAAGCGCAAAGAAATTTCTATGGACGAATTAATTGTGCGTTTAAGGATTGAGGAGGACAACCGCAATTCTGAAAAACGGGCTGGTAAGCATCCTATGGAGTCTAAGGCAAATGTGGTGGAACATGCTTCAAAAACCAAGAAACGAAAGTCTTCTGGAGAAAGTTCATCACAAGGCTCTAAAGGAGGGAAAATAAAAAGTACAAGTTAAATGGCAAATGTTGCATTTGTGACAAAGAGGGACATCAGGCCAAAGATTACCGTAGCAAAGGCAATAACAAAAGGAGAACAAGCAAGAATCCTGCTCAAGCCCATATGACCAAAGTGGACAATATTTCCAATGGTGTCCATGACATCAATCTTTTTGCAGTTGTTTCCGAGGCAAATCTTGTCGGAAATCCTAAAGAATGGTGGGTGGACACTGGTGCTACTCGCCATATTTATGCCGACAAAAAGATGTTCACATCTTATTCTACAGTGGACAATGGTGAACAACTTTTTATGAGCAACTCCTCAACTTCCAAAGTTGAAAGACAAGGAAAGATTGTTCTCAAGATGACATTAAGAAAGGAACTCACTCTTAACAATGTATTGCATGTACCAGACATTCGCAAGAATCTTGTTTCCAGATCTCTGTTGAGTAAGAATGGGTTTAGGCTAGTATTTGAGAGTGATAAATTTGTACTTACTAAGAATGGGATGTATGTAGGAAAAGGTTACATGTCTGATGGCCTTTTCAAGTTAAATGTAATGACCGTTGTACCCTCAGTTATTAATAATAATACATCTTCTTCTTACTTGCTTGAGTCTTCAAATTTATGGCATAGTAGACTAGGACATACTAATTATGGATCTTTGCGTAGATTAATTAATATGGAATGTTTACCTAAATTTAACATTGATTCAAATCATAAATGTGAAATTTGTGTTGAGGCAAAATTATCTAAAACTCCTTTTCATTCAATTAAAAGAAGTACGGAATCACTTGAGTTAATTCATAGTGACATTTGTGATTTTAAATCAATTCAAACTAGAGGTGGAAAAAAGTATTTTATCACTTTTATAGATGACTATACTAGATATAGTTATGTTTATTTAATTCGAACGAAGGATGAAACTTTGGAAACTTTCATTCAATATAAAAATGAAGTTGAAAATCAACTTGGTAAGAAAATCAAGAAAATTAGAAATGATAAAGGTGGTGAATATGAATCACCTTTTAGTAAGTTTTGTAAAGAATATGGAATAATTCATCAAACTACTGCTCCTTACTCACCTCAGCAAAATGGAATTATTGAAAGGAAAAATAGGACTTTAAAAGAAATGATGAATGCCATGTTTATAAGTTCTGGATTACCTCAGAACTTGTGGGGGGAAACAATACTTTCTGCTAATTATATACTTAACAAAGTACCCCAAAAGAAAGTGAATCAAACATCTTATGAATTGTGGCATGAAAGAGTACCATCCTACAAATACTTAAAAGTGTGAGGGTGTTTGGCTAAAGTGGCTATTCCTAGTCCTAAAAAGACTAAGATAGGTCCTAAGACCATTGATTGCATTTTCATTCGTTATGCCAAGAATAGTAGTGCATATCGGTTTTTGATTCATAAATCAGAACATTCCGAAATGCATGTAAATACTATTATTGAATCTCGGAATGTATCTTTCTTTGAACATGTATTTCCAAATAAGACTGGACAAGAGACTAGTAACAATAAAAGATCTCATAATGCTATTACTAGTCAGGATCAAGAACATGATCAAGAACAAGAGTTAGATCAAAATGAGGAAGAGGAACTTAGGCGTAGTAAACGTGCTAGAACCTCAAAATCTTTTGGTCCAGATTTTCTAACATATTTGTTAGAAAATGAGCGTTTAACTTTTAAAGAAGCTATATCCAGTCCTGAGGCTCCTTTATGGAAAGAAGCTGTCAATAGTGAAATTGAATCCATTTTGCAAAATCACACTTGGAAATTAATGGACTTACCACCAGGTTATAAACCTCTTGAATATAAGTGGACTTACCACCAGGTTGTAAACCTCTTCGATATAAGTGGATTTTCAAAAGGAAAATGAAAGCAGATGGGTCAATTAACAAATACAAGGCAAGACTTGTGGTCAAAGGATTTAGACAAAAAGAAGGTCTTGATTACTTTGACACATACTCACCGTTACTAGAATAACATCCATTAGAATGCTAATTGCCATTACATCTCTATACAATCTAGAAATTCATCAAATGGATGTTAAAACAGCTTTCTTAAATGGTGAGTTAGAGGAAGAAATTTACATGGAACAACCAGAAGAGTTTTCTGTTCCAGGGAAAGAAAAGAAAGTGTGTAAATTGGTTAAATCATTATATGGTTTAAAACAAGCGCCAAAGCAATGGCATAAGAAATTTAACAAAGCAATAATGTCAAATGAATTTAAAATTAATGAGTGTGACAAATGTGTTTATATTAAAAACACAGACAAAGGTTATGTCATTGTATGTCTTTATGTGGATGATATGCTCATCATAGGTAGTAATAATGATATGCAAGGTTCTGAAAAGCGGTTGCGGTCGTCGTAACGGTAGCGGTGACGCGGTTGCGGTTGCGAGGTGTAAAGGCCGTAGTGAAACGGTTGCGGTAACCGAAACCGTGAATTTTTTTATTTTTCACACAATTTGAAAAAAAACTTACCGATACGCATATTTTTTTCCCATGATCATATTTATTGGATTAAAAATAAATATTGATCAATTTTTCTAAATTTTTAAGTATGATCCAATATATTTCATATTTTTAAATCACTATAAACTGAGTTTTTTATATTTTATTTTAATAATTAACGACTTTATATTATACAAAAATTCAATCACTAACTATTATATATAAGATAAACAATGACAAAAGTATGAGAACAAATAAGAGCCTAAATATATATATATATATATATATACATATTTTAACCAAGTCAAATAGATAATGACCACACTTATTATTATTATTATTATTTTCAAACAAAATATAGATAGACAAACACAAACAAAATGGTTTAGTGATAGCAGCTGAATAGAATAGCATAGGTCATACAGCTTTAACAAATCAATAACATGTTCATCATCTTCCCTCTTCTCTCTCTCTATTTCTTGCTCCTCCATTTTCTCTCTTTATCTTCCCTCTTCTCTCTATCCCTCTTCCCCCATTTTCAGCTTTTTTTGTGTGTATTTTTTCGAAAGAAACAGTTTGGAATCGTTACGTAACGGTGCGTAATAGGCCGTTACGGCTGTTACGGCACCGTTCCGACCGCTACGACAGCCGTTACAGCCGACACACCTGTGAATCTCAATCACACTGCAAAAGCGGCCGTAACGGGTGGCGGTAACCGCCAAAAACGGTTGCGGTCGCTTTTTAAAACCTTGATGATATGATTACAACTACCAAGAAAATGTTGAATAAATATTTTGACTTGAAGGACATGGGCATTGCTGATGTAATTCTTGGTATGAAAATTACCAAAACATCAGAAGGTTATGCTTTGTCACAATCTCATTACGTTGAGAAAATACTTGACAAATTCAGCAAAGATGATGATCATCGTGTTAGAACACCTGTAGATGTTAATTTGTTTCTATCTAAGAATGTACAGGAAAGTATTTCTCAATTAGAATATGCCCAAATTATTTGAAGCTTAATGTACTTGATGAACTGCACTCGCCCAGATATAGCTTATGCAGTAAGTAAATTAAGTAGATATACGAGTAATCCGGGAGTAGAACACTGGAAAGTAATTATAAGGGTTCTAAGATATCTCCGATTCACTCGTAACATTTGGCTTAATTATACTAGATATCCAGCAGTACTTGAAGGATACTATAATGCAAATTGGATATCGGATACTAGAGACTCAAAGTCCACCAGTGGGTATGTCTTTACTCTTTATGGGGCAGCTGTATCTTGGAAATCTTTCAAACAGACTTGCATTGCTAGGTCTACTATGGAATCAAAATTCATAGCTTTAGATAAAGTAGGGGAAGAAATAGAATGGCTTCGTCACTTCCTTGAAGATATTCCAATATGGCCTAAACCGGTGCCTGCTATATGCATACATTGTGATAGTCAATCAGCTATAGGTAGAGCACAGAGTCATATGTATAACGGTAAGTCACGACACATTCGTCGTCGATATAACACCGTGAGACAACTACACTCTAATGGAATTATTTCCATAGAATATGTTAAGTCTAAAGACAACATAGCGGATCCACTAACCAAAGGGTTAGCAAGAGAGTTAGTTGAGAATTCATCGAGGGGAATGGGACTTAAGCCTATTAAATAAGAGTTACCACAACGACAACCCAACCTAGTTGACTGGAGATTCCAAGATCTAGGTTCAAAGGGACAACCGAGTTGTGAATGACTCAGAAGGATCACTGGGGAGTCTAACTCCTACCCATTTCTATGATGAAATAGTGATGTCTGCAGTGTTTTAGGTTAAGTAAAACTTTTAATGATTCTTATATCTAGATATACCTAGTGGAGTATGGCAAGATACTCTTCATAAGAATCACCTAAGTGAGTGTGAACTGGGCCGATTCTATAAGATTTGTGAAGAGCTACAAGTCTTTAGAGTACTCATGAATGACCAAGTTGTTCAGGGCCAAAATGAACACAATAGTGAGAACTAAACTGTGTCTGGGGATATACTGTGTGAGTTCTATTGTCTTGGTTTACACAAACGGCTGAACAGTTCAAGACATCATGTTCACTGGTTAGCTAGTAAATCCGATAGTGTCTCACAAGGGAAGGTTCAAAGCCAAAAGCTACCTATCCTTTGCAGAATATTTTCAATTTCTGTACTCTCTGTAATTTAGATCATGTTGTTGCATTTTCTCTCCATCAAATTCCTTTCATGTGGGGGATTGTTGGAAAATTTGATTTATTATGGCATATTTTGGCAGACTTTTAGGCCAAAATTGAGCGGGCCCCAAACGTCTTTTGGGGTGGGTCCGAAAAGGTGACGTGTTCCTTGTCGCGTGGCAAGTCACACAGTAAAGACGGAACGTCAAAACCATTTATGAGTGAATGGAAAGTTGACGTCATTTTCGGGTCTAACATTAATTTTTTAGATAAAATTCTTTTGAATTTTTTCAATAAAAATTATTGTGGGAATTTAATTTAATTCTAAATTCAAATTTTGGGTTCCTAAGTGGTTTCCTAAAGTTTGTAATTGTAAGAATTTAACTTAATTCTAAATTCAAATTTTGGGTTCTTAAGTGGTTTCCTAAAGTTTGTACATCTTTCTTTATTTATTAAACTATTTCAATAGTTTAATATATATATATATATATCTATTAAATAGTTTAATTAATAAAGTTCCAACAGTTTGAAACAGTTCCACTAACGGACCACCTTTCAATTGTTGGAATTTTAGTGTTCCTGTTCAAACGGTCAAAATTGTTTGAATTAAAAAAGTGCATCTATTCATTCAAATGTGTTGTACCTGTTCGGGCTATTAACTGTCACTATGTTGCCTATAAATAGAGAATCTATTCCAGCAGTCTACATACTTAGAGAAATCTGAAAAAAAAAAAAGTCTGAAAAATAGATATTGCTGTCCAGAATTTTTCCTTTGCATTTTATTCTTCATTTTAGTTTTAGAATAAATATTCAGAGAGTTAAATCACAGGTTTGGTTCGCCGAACAATTTGTTTTGGAGTGCTGCTACAAATTGCTTAAGATCATTGTATCCTGGGAGATAGACGCCACTCAACCGTAAGCACCGTAGCGGGGCGAATCTGTCTTAAGGACAGAGTATCACACACTCGACTTGATCTTTTATTTTTAATTCGGTTCGATAAATAAATTCGGTACGTTATTTATTTATTTTGTTTGATTTATTTCAATTTATTTTATCTACACAGAAGATTATTCCAACAAATCATACCATTTATTGGGTTGGAGATGAGATCATTCACATGTTTGAGTCAATAAGAAAAAAATATTTTTGCAGTCGTATTCATTTTTGGGCATTGAAAGAAGTTTTGTTGGTTTTAAGTGATGATCCATGCTTTCCACTACTCTTTTTTCACTTACATGATGAAACATTTTGCCTGATATGGGAGGATTATGAGTATTCTGCTGGATGTCAGCGTTCCGTGCTTCTTGTTCATCAGTTCTGTGTCTCCAAGCGCATCAAGAGAGGAGTACTCGGTTTGAGTGTGAAGCCGGTGTTTACCGAATATTATCTCCCTGATGGAATTGTTATCAACTCCTTCGATGGCATAGTGCTGTAAGTTCATCATCTCTTTTGCTTCTTCCTTAGCATTTTTTTCACATGAACTGAAATTAAATTAATTTGATGCTTGAAAATTTGGAACAACTTGACAAGCTGATTGTTCAAGTTAAGTTTGCCACAATTAGATAATTTTCTTCCTTTTTCCTTTCTAATCTCTATCTCATGCTCTAAGCAAATTACTTTTTGTATGCTGTTTATGAACATATAATGTCATTATAATCCATGTTATCCATATTCTCATACCATTTTGTCAAATTCTTACATAAAGTATGTTATGCCAAATAGATAGTCGACTTTGTCAATCATAACATTGCATTAATTTATGGCGAGATTTAGATGTTCATTTATTTATTTTTGTTGTATGGTTTTCCATGTTGTGCTCATATTGATTATGTGCTTTAGAGGTTAGTTTGTTGTTGCCTGCTGCTGCAACTACTTTTATGTGTGGTTTTTAATATATCGATGCACATTTTGCAGTAACATGGGTGGAATGGGGGTAACTTCTGGTTCTGGAGGTAGAGCATCTACCATTGCATTGTGGGAATGGTTCAGGAAGGTTCTTGTTTCAAGACACTGCATGACTTATTTGATTCTAGTATTTGTTTTTGTGAATTTGTTGAACAATCTGTTTTTGATGCTTTATTATAAGGTATGTGTAGAATCTTAGTTTTCATTTTCTAAGTAATTTCAGATATGTGTAGACATTTTGTCTCTTTTTTTGAAGGAGTGAAATATGTTTATTTTGTTATGATGCTATTGGAAGTACATTGAAACGCTGATAAAAAAAAATGAATGTGTTCACACACTTTTAAAGTGTGAATAATATACCGATTGTGATTGGTCTAAATTCGTAAATTTTATATTCAAAAAGTGCATTGATCCCACTTCAAGTTTTGGACTCCACTGGTTTGATCCAATAGAAATTTGTGTATTATTCTCCCATTTTTTGAATAAAATTGGACCTAGTTATAAACAACTAAGGCTTATTTTGGTAAGTGAGTAAAAAGTCACTTTTCAACTTATTTTGGCTCACATCACTTCTACATTTTTTTACAAATTTTTTAAAAAAAAGTTAAAACAAGTCAAAAAGTCATGTTTTAATCAACCTCCCAAAATAATCCTACATGAACATATTTATGTTCTCAGCTATAGTCTTGTTCAATTTTAGGACCTTTGTTGCCAAGAATGGGCTTATACAAGGAATGGTCATTCTAGAGAGGGTAAGAACAACAAATTTTAAGTGAACTAAATACTATCCAAATCATAGTTAATTTATATTGAAAGTCAATCTTCATTGCATTACTGAGCTGCAAGCTTGTTTCCATCATTGAATTTGGACTCCTGAATTGAGCTTTTTAAATTACAAGTAAATTAAAATTTGAATGTTTATGATATCGCATCATTCCTTGAGTAATTTTATTTTAATAATGTTACACTTACCTCTTTTTATACCACTTTCAATGTACTTACCTTATGTGTTAATCCATCATTGGTGTAATGGGTCTTCATCCATGTTTATGTCAAATGATATGCTAACATGAAGTGGTATATTAAAGATAATATAATAAGGTGATAAGTGTAACATTATTTAATTTTGCGGTAGGAACCATATCCTGATTGAATTAATGTTAGATAAGAGTCAACCATGGTTACTTAAATAACCAAACTATAATTTTCCCGCTGATCAGCTTTAATACTTTTATGACATGAGCTTTTAGAAGTGTAAGATTGAATTGTAATATATCTACTAATCTATAGTTTAGTTAAAAAAGTAAAAAATAAGAGTAACAGCCAAATACATATCATTTTTTGTCAAATAATCTAGAAATTATTTATTGCAGAACTAGCAATCCATTCCATTGCCATACTCCCTTAAACATAATCATATTTTATAATGAATTAATATTATACAAATTGACCTTATTGTTTGTGGAGCTAATCATATTATGAATTTATTCTTTTGCTTTGAATTCTAAAGTTTATTATTATAAATCAATTGATTTGTTAATTTCCGTAATTTTTTTCTTCATAATAAGCTTCCCTTAGTAAGATCGATCAATTTTAATGAAACATAGATAGTCATGTTGTGCAATAAATAATGGCGTTAAGTGATACAAATTGTAATTATCAAAACAATTCGATTTATTTTTACTAAATATATTCAATATTCAATTTTAAATACTGAATCGAGTTATCAAAATACCACACACCCATTACAAAACTCAAACAACTTGAAATCAGACCAATACTTCTATACCACACCACATTCATTATGGAATGTTCACAACCATAAAGCTCATCAATCGAGTGAAAAAGGGTTAGCTTTCTACATAGAGCTTTCATATTAGTTCTCACCAAATCACCCCAAACACTCTGAGTGTACAAAAGAATGTTTAGCAACAGAATACAAGGAAAATATGTTCATTACAATTTACAATTAGCACCTGCCAATCAACATTTCAGACAAAAGCACAACTTTCTATGGTTTAGAAATTTCTCTGCTGCAAATTGACTTGGTCTATGTTGTGTAGACTTTCAATCTTCATACATGGGGGCACTACTGGATGCCTGCCTTGATGTTTTGGGGCTCCAATATGACATTCAAAATTTTACCGGGAACATAAATTCTTTTTCTGACATTTCTAATAGTTAATTTATATTGAAAGTCAATCTTCATTACATTACTGAGCTGCAAGCTTGTTTCCATCATTGAATTTGGACTCCTGAATTGAGCTTTTTAAATTACAAGTAAATTAAAATTTGAATGTTTATGATATCGCATCATTCCTTGAGTAATTTTATTTTAATAATGTTACACTTACCTCTTTTTATACCACTTTCAATGTACTTACCTTATGTGTTAATCCATCATTGGTGTAATGGGTCTTCATCCATGTTTATGTCAAATGATATGCTAACATGAAGTGGTATATTAAAGATAATATAATAAGGTGATAAGTGTAACATTATTTAATTTTGCGGTAGGAACCATATCCTGATTGAATTAATGTTAGATAAGAGTCAACCATGGTTACTTAAATAACCAAACTATAATTTTCCCGCTGATCAGCTTTAATACTTTTATGACATGAGCTTTTAGAAGTGTAAGATTGAATTGTAATATATCTACTAATCTATAGTTTAGTTAAAAAAGTAAAAAATAAGAGTAACAGCCAAATACATATCATTTTTTGTCAAATAATCTAGAAATTATTTATTGCAGAACTAGCAATCCATTCCATTGCCATTAGGGGTGTACGCAGTGCGGGTCGGTGCGGTTTGAGAGAAAAATAGAAACCGTATGGCGAGTGGCGGATTGATAAAAGTGTCACTAGAATTTGTCATTTTTCTTATCAAAAACCGGCGGTTCGGTTGGCAAATAATGGCGGATTTGCCTTGGCGGTTCGGGCGGATTGGCGGTTTATAAAAAATACAATTCAAATTACAAAACTTAAATCAAAGAGTAAAAAAAAGACGAGAGATACCGTGATATTAAGCATCTTGCGAAGCTTTCTTCTGATGCAGCAAGTGTAGCAACAACATGATAATATCAACGACTATACCATCAGTTCATTACAAGCATTTGTGAAAGCTACAATGATCAAATACAATACATAAAATTAATATCATTCAGGATTTACAATATATTGAAAATGTTTACTGTTGAAAAGTATTTAGATTGAAAAGTGAGCTGATGCAAGTTTGCAACATGGGCAGAAAAAAAAAGATTGAAAAGTGAATTGGAATCCAACTTTATTTTGGATTACTGACATCTTAAATTCCCCTCGAACAGTAATGTAATACTATATTCTAAGGTATAGAACAACAAGCAAACTTAAGTAAAAAAAAAATTTTAGAATCTTGTAAAACATGATTTAATAGCGGTGCGGATCGGTGCGGTTTGGAAGAAAAATAAAAACCGGTGGATTGATAAAAGTGTCACTAGAATTTGCCATTTTTCTTACCAAAAACCGGCGGTTCGATTGACAAATAATAACGAATTTGCCTTGACGATGCGGTTCGGTACAGTTTTGACAATTTCGACGGTATTATACACTCCCCTAATTGCCATACTCCCTTAAATATAATCATATTTTATAATGAATTAATATTATACAAATTGACCTTATTGTTTGTGGAGCTAATCATATTATGAATTTATTTTTTATTTTAAATTCTAAAGTTTATTATTATAAATCAATTGATGTGTTAATTTGCGTAATTTTTTTCTTTATAATAAGCTTCCCTTAGTAAGTAAGATCAATTTTAATGAAACATAGATAGTCATATTGTGCAATAAATAATGGTGTTAAGTGGTACAAATTGTAATTATCAAAACAATTCGATTTATTTTTACTAAATATATTCAATATTCAATTTTAAATACTGAATCGAGTTATCAAAATACCACACACCCATTACAAAACTCAAACAACTTGAAATCAGACCAATACTTCTATACCACACCACATTCATTATGGAATGTTCACAACCATAAAGCTCATCAATCGAGTGAAAAAGGGTTAGCTTTCTACAAAGAGCTTTCATATTAGTTCTCACCAAATCACCCCAAACAGAGTGTACAAAAGAATGTTTAGCAACAGAATACAAGGAAAATATGTTCATTACAATTTACAATTAGCACCTGCCAATCAACATTTCAGACAAAAGCACAACTTTCTATGGTTTAGAAATTTCTCTGCCGCAAATTGACTTGGTCTATGTTGTGTAGACTTTCAATCTTCATACATGGGGCTCCACTATGACATTCAAAATTTTACCGGGAACATAAATTCTTTTTCTGACATTTCTACCGTCCAAATATTTGGAGAGTTTTTGGTCAATTGAAGCCAGTTTGAAAGCGTCATCCTCTGTACATGTTTCTTCGACCTGTATTGTACCCCTTGTTTTCCCATTAATCTGAACTGGTAGGACCACTATGGACTCTTTTAGGTAAGCAGGATCAGCCTGCAAGGTCTCATAATCAATATGACAGAAAACTCATTAATTAAGTTCGACAGAAAATGAGTCTAAATTCTTCAGAGACTAAACAAATCTATTCCCTTCTTTAATACATGTTTTAATATAAATAAATAAATAAGAAAAAGAAGAAAAAAGAAGATGAATTTCAAGTTCTAATAACTGACCAAGACCCCAGCCAAAACCATATATAAAAAGATACAAAATAACGGGCAAGTTTCTGCATTAATTTGGAGATATAAGTGGTGTCTCCTTATTACTCCAACTTCTGTACATTCAAGCCATACGTGCAGAAACTTGTCAAAACAATGAAACAGTAATATTTTATGACTAAACATTCTTGATCTTTCAAGATAAATTGACGTAAACATGACTTGTGTGCAGCTTTCTAGATTCACTCTAATTTCATCTTGACAGATGTTTAAGAACTCGAAATACAATCTTTTTTAGCTCGTGGTCTGCAATATGGAATAAAACAGTATGTCTTATGATTCATGAGCATAGTCAATCTTTCCACCCAGACAAGCAGCAAGGGGACATAGTAAATCTTTCCACCCACCCACCCATGGAGGGGGAGAGATTTACTTGATGTGAAAGATGAACCACACACAATGCCATATTCAAGAAAAATAGAAACCCGTACCTTTGGAAAAGGCTCGTATGCCAGCGAATTTGAGTGTCCCAGCCGAGACCAAAGCTCCTCAGCCATGTGAGGAGCATATGGTGAAAGCAATAAGACAAATGGTTCAATGGCTGACCTTGGAAGTTTATCCCACTACAGATGCGAAAATGCAGAAAACTGATTAGATAATTTACCAAAAAATTATATAATTGACGGACAAATAAAACATAATTCAGGCCATTAAATGATGTGAGCAAATCAAACATATGGTATAGCACACCAAGACTACCAAACAAGCAACTGGTTCACATGTAGACGACGCTTTCTTTCTTAAAATGGGCGTACTCAATGAAGAAGACTCCTGCTTACAGGGAAAGGTAATAAGTGGCCTTACTCTCACTTTCTTTTCACTTTTTTTTTAGGTTCCTTGGGTTGGGAGGTGAAGTGTTGAGTTGAATTGCATGTTTCAAAAGGGTATTATTGTGAACAAGAGCAATAAGACAGAGAACCCACACTCTCTCATTTCAGCCATCACTTTCACCAACTTCTTCATTTTTCATTTTGCTTTTGTGCCTCTACAATAATTTAAATGCCCCATATTCCTGGTGTGAAGTGTCTCACACCTTCACAGCAAACAAACCTTCCAGTACAATTAATTTGTCAATGGGAAGCTACTAAAAGTGTAAAACAAGTTACTGTATCAGTATCCCAACATATTACCAACGACCTAGGGAAAGTATCAATTGCAGTAAATCACATGCCCATATCAAGAACAACTTGTTAAGGAGCCAAATGACAGAGATAGATAATAGAGACCTTATATGCTGCATTAATGAACTCCATCATTGCAGAGATTCCAGTGTTGAACCGTGTCCCTTCAATTTCTTCTGTGACCTACAAGTCAAACCAACTAATTGGTCAGAGCTTCATATTATGTTCAAACTACACCACCTAGGGGCATGATGACATCTAAAAGACATATCTGCATTAGAAATGCGCCAAACACTAAATTGAAAGCACTTGTATAAACTGTCTTTACTTTTCATTTCTCCATTTAAGCATCAAAATCCCCACACATTATTATTATTATTATTATTTAAATCTTTGCTCCCCTTCACACATATTACGCGTTTTGTATCATGCAGCTTTTTAATTTCAATTTCCAAAAATTCAAAATTTTCAAATTCAATGAGTGTGACACTATACACCCACCTCAAATTTTACCACCCTTACCCATGCCAATGCAACATATTAATATGCATTGGTAAACAGTGTCCAATAGCATGGCTAAAAAGGGGTGACCCAGGAATCAAGTCTCCAGCTAATGTGGGGCTTTAGGTAGAGCATGCTCAGTAGCATGGCTACGAGAAATTTGATTACAGAATTTAAAGAAAATAATAATAAATTCAATTTTGTGCTCTCAACAAGATTATAATAGCATAGTTTTATTAGAAGCTTAAAGTCAAATATCAGAAACTTAACAAATATACAGAACTATTCTCATGATCACAAGCTTGAAGTTATCTTAATAGAGATTAACAGAGATTAACTTAAAAGATGAATACCATGCTCATTCCCACCAACGGGCTTTGTAATAATCACCTTAACATGGTAACTCACTGTATCCCATGAATTATGCTCGGGTCAAAAACTGTGACCCACGGACAGCAGCCAAACCAGTTATAACACTACATCTCATGGTAAGAAACCAGGGCATGCAGCCAATGAGAATGGGAAGGAACAAATATTGTGGCTGCTGCACAAATGGGATTTAAAAAAATTTTGAAGAGAGAGAGAGAGCAACAAACTACAATGCAAAAATGGATAACTAGACCACTAGCTTGGTGAGTTGTGACAACAATGACCAAAATGGATGTAAATAATAAGCTTATTATTTTTAACATTAACATTAAAAGGCCATGCACAAAATCTAAAAACAGCTCCCTTCTAAATTTAGAAAATAGTACACACTGCTATACGTATTATTTTGTTTTAACATTGACTGCTTCCTTTATTTTATAAAAACGGCATGATGTCCATAAGAGCAGCTTCTTTCCATAAAAATTTTATTTTTATTTCAATAATTATTTGTAGACTTAAAAAACATGGTTCCTATATCTTCAGATATGGTGGTCAGGTGACTTTAGATTTAGAACCATACATATCTTCGACATTGATGAGAGGCATCACTTAGTATAAATAAGCTTTAGCAATATTGCATAGCCTTCAGAGAGCATCTTTTAAACACGCGCGCACACACTTTCACACACACAATGTAATAAACAAAACACAGTAGTCGTGAGCTTTATTGTATATTCTTTCGTTTGGTCATAAAATTGCTTATTTACCCAAAATAAATAAATAAACAATACAAAAATCCATAACATATATGTGCCCTATAGCATTCCAATTTCTAACTAAATGAGACCTCAAAGAGTAGAAGCGGCAAGGAAGAAAAACTAATAGCATAAAAAAATAAAAATAAAAAATAATACCTTATCAATGCATTTATGGAGAGAACGAAGTTGTTCCAATAGAGGCTCATTGTCAATTATGACTGTTCCATCTCTGAATGTACCATTGGGTAAAGGTGAACCAACTATCAATCTCCAAACTCTCCCCAAAAATCGATGAACGCCTTCAATACCACCAGTATTCCAAGCTTTCGAGTCTCTAGAACAAGAAAGGTCATGCAAGAAAGGAGCAGATATAAAAAGTGAGCTTGAGTATAAAAATTGCAAGACATGTTCTCAAGTTTAAAAAAAATAAATAAATAATTATAAGATACTTTTTTTTAACAGAAACCTACCTAAATGGGCCCATGAACATCTCATACAAGCGAAGAGAGTCTGCACCATACTCAAAAACAACATCATCAGGATTCACAACATTTCCCCTGCTTTTACTCATTTTATGAGCCCGGGCAATCAACCGAATTTTGGGATTGTCTTTTAACACAAAAGAATCACCAGATTTCATTACCTACATGAGGGGAAAACATAATTCCAAAAACCAAAAATAAAAAGGTGAATGCCAAAAATAATAGCCTTGTCTCTACTAATTTTAGTGGAATGCATCAAGATGGGTGAGAAAATATATAACAAATGCAGAAAAACACACTTTTTCATCGGGTATTCTTTCTTGATGATGCTCTCCGAACACGTCAACAGAGTCTGCAGATATGAAATTCCCATCTGAATCTCTGCATGCGATATATTGAACCTGCCACTTAAATCATTAAGAACTAGCAACGGGCAAACATTACTTTGTGACCAAGCAACTTTACTTACTTCCCCTAGGATAATCCCCTGGTTTATGACACATTTGAAAGGTTCTTTTGTTGATACAACACCAATGTCATAGAGAACCTGCAACAGAGTTTGAATTAGAAGCATTCAAATATATGTATACAGCACCAACAAAAGAAATACGGTCACAAATTTGGTATCAGAAAACAACTATGGATGGCAGCAGGCTTTAATTACTAGCCAGCCTTTGATCATAGACAGCCTTGTTTTCGAATTTCAGAACTTCCTTCATCACAGTGCTTCTCAAATACATACCTTACCAATTGGGCTCTCCATCTCCCCAGACTGGCTCAGATTACTATGGTAAATAAACTTTTCTTGAAAACCAGAACACAATCAACCTACAATTTGGCTTGACTCATAACAATCCTAGGTATATCTTTTTATGATAACAACAATTAGATGTGTTCCAAAAAAAAATGAATATTGCCTATAATGCTGCATGGAAAGGGAGACACCAACCAGCAACAAGGACACATCAAAATACAGTACAATACAATTTGGAGCACAAACCTTGTGCCAGAACCTGGAATAAAGTAAGTGAAGAACAGCATGTTCAGCACCGCCGACATACACATCAACAGGGCTCCAATACCTGCACATGAAAGATGCTAAATAGAACTCTGCATCGCATATAATCATCTCTTAATAGCAAATGACATATACATAAAACAGATCCCCTGTAAGAGACCAATGTAGCGTCAAACTACAGAGATTTGTGTTAGCAAAAGTGGTCGTTACATTTCTTTCATCTTATCAACCAACGCTTCGGAATTGTTAGGGTCCATAAATCTCAAATAGTACCTGGACACGAGCAGAATGTAAGATGACTAAGAATCTAATTTATAAAAATAAATAAATAAATAAAAAATGAGTGTAACTAAAATGAGAATGTTGAGAAAGATGAACAATGCTATGAGAAAATATAAAATAAGGCATAAATGCATTAGGGAAAACATAGAAGTGACACCATAAAATGAGCGAAAGCTGTTTGAAATGGAATGGCCATGTACAATTTAGACCAATTAACATGCCTGCAAGAATGAGCGGAAGTCTTAGAGGACCTCATGTCCTCTGAACTTACTTCTTTTATTTAATAAATTTCCTCTTGTTGCAGATCAAAATAAATGTTGAAATATATGTATTATTGATTGATGTATTCTGTATTACAAGATTGATTACATAAATGCATTAGGGAAAACATAGAAGTGACACCATAAAATGAGCGAAAGCTGTTTGAAATGGAATGGCCATGTACAATTTAGACCAATTAACATGCCTGCAAGAATGAGCGGAAGTCTTAGAGGTCCTCATGTCCTCTGTACTTACTTCTTTTATTTAATAAATTTCCTCTTGTTGCAGATCAAAATAAATAAATAAAAAGGAATGATTGCTTCATGTTAAGTGTGCTAAAAAAAATAAAAGAAGGCCAAGAAGGACTTGACTGGGACATGGCTTTTAATAAAGCCAACAGCAGAAAAGAAATCCATGTAGTTGACGCCAAGTAATTGGAACAAAGGCTTGTTGAGTTGACGAGTAAAGTTATATTATTTTTCTCTTCTCACACATGACCACAGACTAGCAACAGCTAAAATACTGATGATGCCACCTTCCTAAAATGACAATGATATAAAACAAGATTTTTAAAATTTAAGGTGTTGTTCCTGCTTATTGATACTAAAATTGTATGCACCTTTCTGAAAAGAATAATTTATTTCAGACAGCTCACACATAACTATAGTTTAGATCATACAAATAGCACACAGCTGATAATCAGTACACTGACATTCAACAAACATGTCACATTATTAAATTTCTCCTTTCCACTTCTGATAAGTCCAGCATCCATTCACCCATTCAACCAAAGTATGTTGTTTTTGTGCCGGGCCACAAAAGTGGAATATATACGATAGAAGACATTTCTTTCTTCTTTGCTCTTTACTCTTTCTTTTCTTCAACAAACCACCCTCTATATCCTATGTCCCTTCGGGCGTCTCCATGCTGCACTCTCAGGTTTTCCTTTCTATTCATCTATGAAGCACCGACACTTCAAAACAAGTGCCGTATTCGTGTCGGACACACGGACACTTTGGGGACACGCTAACACTTCGGGGACAAGTATGGGACACACCACATGGCGTGTCCCCTTATTTAATTAATTTATTTTCAGGAGACACGCCAGGGGACACACTTAGGGACATGCCAAATTGTCTTTTCTCCCATTTTATTTAGTGCTTTTGATGAATGTTGAATGTTTATTATTTTTTTCTTAGATTTAAATTCGTAATAGATCATCCATAAAAAAAAATATAAACTGTAAGTGTTAATTTAAAAGTGTTTTTAAAAATAAAAAAATATAATTAGAGTTAATTTTTGTTCTAACAGACACACCACATGGCGTGTCCCCTTATTTAATTAATTTATTTTCAGGAGACACGCCAGGGGACACACTTAGGGACATGCCAAGTTGTCTTTTCTCCCATTTTATTTAGTGCTTTTGATGAATGTTGAATGTTTATTATTTTTTTCTTAGATTTAAATTCGTAATAGATCATCCATAAAAAAAGATATAAACTGTAAGAGTTAATTTAAAAGTGTTTTTAAAAATAAAAAAATATAATTAGAGTTAATTTTTGTTAATATTGATTGTTTGTGGATGTAATACTAATCTAGATAGCAAATAAAAATATATGAAAACATATTTTATTGCCGTGTCCCCGCCGTGTCCGTGTCCCCATTTTTTAAAATTGCCGTGTCCCGTGTCCGCATCCACATCCGTATCCGTATCCGTGTCCGTGTCCGTGCTTCTTAGCTATTCATCTTCCCTAAACTTAAAGTACTTCAATCTTTATCAGAAAAAAAGAAAATTCTGGTAAAAAATACAGCGCTCATAAAAAACAAAGAAATCTCAATACCATTGCACCATTGGCACTAATACAGTAAAAATAAATAAATTTTAAAATTTTAAACAACAGATTACCAGCATGAACCAGCCCACTGAGGCATGGTATTTGTTTCGCGTCTGGCAGGCTTTCCCAACAAAGGATCAGTGGTCTCAACCTGAAAATCAATCATCCAAGTTTACATGTATGAATATTAAAATGAAAAATAGCTAGACAATTGCTAACAATTCAGAAATAAATAATATGAGAAGAGCCAGCATGCTGGCTAAATTGGTGTTGAGGGCGTTAATAGTGGACATGTAGTCCAAAGTAACAATAGTTTGTTTGAAAGATAGGTATGACTGAATTTGCAATACTGCAAATGAGAGCAACTGATCAAATAGGTGTTTTCATTTGCCTACTCATTCGTGATGGCAATTCATGCTCCATACAATTGTAGAGAAGTTACAGAAAAGAAAAAATTTAAAATCAGAGTAACATCCACTTCAACTTTCTACAGGATTCCAAGCATTTGTTCGTTTTGCATGTCTTCTCAGCTATCAGACAAAACTAATGACTAGCCAGACAACAATTTTGCCATGAAGAGTTTGATTTTGAGATCTTGGAAATGGAAATTCAAGCACACGTGTGTTTGATTTGAGATTATTTGAACAAAGATGTACACAAGCAGGGGGTGGTGGTGAACTAACAGTGCTAGGTAAGCGTTTTAGGCAATTACTGCCATTTTGACATCTCCAAGTACAAACTCAGATAAGTAAAATACTGCAGAACTCATCAATCCATCTGTTAACATAAATGACAAAACAAAAAGGACAAAGAAAGGAAGAACACATCAAGAAACTGCTTTTGAAAGATTTTAGCCAATTATTAACATTTTCACATCTCCAAGAACAAAATCAGGAAGTAATGTAATGAAGAACTCATCAATTCATCTGCTAAACATAAATGACAAACAGATAAGAGAATAAAGAAGGCAAAACACACCCAAGAAACTGCTTTTGAAAGTGGTGGTTCTCCTGTCCCAGTGGGAGTGAAATCATCCAACTCAGGAAGGGCAAGAGGCAGCTCACTTTCAGGAAGTGGAACACCCTCACCTGTGTCCTTCAAGAAAACAACTGGGATGGGCTCCCCCCAGTAGCGTTGCCGAGCAAAAAGCCAGTCCCTCAACTTGTAATTCACCTAAAGGAAGACAAGTTTCACACAAGATCAATTGTATTGAATGGTAGAAGCTAAAAACACCTCCAAATTCCCTCTCCTGCCCTCCCATCACCCCTCAAAAGGGGAAAAGAATACTTCAGATAAACTAAGAAAAGTACACCTTTCTAGATAAACAACCACTAAAAGTTACCTTTTTGTTCCCATTTCCAATTTTCTTCACCCATTCAATGACTTTGGAAGCAGCTTCTTTACTAGGCAAGCCATTGATGTCCAGCCCCAAAATTGGACTCGACGAATTTACACTAATACCTTCACCTGAGTAAGGTCTTTCAGAATCACCAGAACTTCCACCATCTGGCATCACAACCCAGCGGATTGGAATATCATATTTCAAAGCGAACTCATGGTCGCGCACATCATGTGCTGGTACAGCCATTATTGCTCCTGTACCATAGCTGCAACAGAACATGCTTAATATGTTACAGTCAATTCAAATCCTAATACTTCACTTTATATCCTACAAAATAGATTAGACAGATATCACTATTAAGCATAATTCATTAGCCAATGCTAAAAATAAAGAGAATATAAGAAATTAAGAAAAGGGATTTACAGACCTCCCTAAAACATAATCTGCAATCCAAATAGGGATAGCTTCACCATTAGCTGGATTTCTTGCATAACCACCACTAAAGACTCCAGTTTTTTCCTTCTGAAGCTCAGTCCTCTCAAGGTCACTCTTTCTAGAAGCAAGCTCTTTGTATTCCTCCACCTGTGCATAATATTTATCATCTCGTTTATTATCCATGGTCAACAAACCTTTGGGATAAAATTGTACAAGGAAACATATGCACATACATATTTGCTTTGGCCCTTGGATACTATTGATGACAACAAAGAATGCTCTGGAGCCAGCACTAAGTAGCTGCACAGAAAGAGCAACTAATTGCAATGTGCTGAATCATCGCAAAAGAAGTAAATAAATGAACAAAAACCAAGACATATACGTTGCTCCAAAGATGGTATCCGGCCTGGTTGTATAAACAGTAATTTTTATGTCACTGGCCTGCCCATCTGTGTCAAGAACGCAAAACTCCACCTCAGCCCCTTCTGACCTCCCTATCCAGTTCCTTTGCATTTCCTTCACGCTTTCAGGCCAGTCAAGATCATCTAGATCATCAAGGAGACGCTCAGCATATGCAGTAATCCTGAGCATCCACTGCCGCATTGGCTGCTTGGTAATCAACAATGATACTGTAAAATTATAAAAACATTCAACAAATAAAAATACGAGCAAAGTATCAAAAGAGGGACAAAATGCTAACAAATAACAGAGCTTTTTTATTTTTTTTTTGATCAACAACAAAATTTTATTGATTAATCAAAAAGAGGAAATGAGCATAAGGCATCCTCTACAAAAAGAAGCAAAGAAAGAAAATACATAACCCAAACAAAGACCATCCACGAAAACAGAGCATCAAACCGGCATACCTTTCTTATAACTGGATGACCCCCACGCTCACTAACACCATCCACCACCTCTTCATTTGCCAAGACAGTCCCAAGAGCAGGGCACCAGTTGACGGGCACTTCAGCCTGCACATAATATTAAAAGAGTGTCAGCTCTGCTTTTTCATTAACAAAGCTAAGAAACACTTAACTAGAAATAAACTGACCTGATATGCCAGCCCTCTCTTTAAAAGCTGCAGAAAAATCCATTGTGTCCATTTGTAATATTCTGGTTCTGTTGTAGAAATTTCACGATCCCAATCATATGAGAAGCCTAATGATTTAAGCTGAAAAGTAATTTAACTGTTAACAACTCGAGAAAGAACAAAACCATTTGGAAAGTTAAGGGAGCAATATTCTATATGCAAGACTGAATTGTCAATTCAAAAGAGAAGACATTTTTATCCATAAAAGGAATGCCAGTTCACCATGCTTTCAAAGGGATCAGGAATATGCTCCTATTACAGTTAGTAAAGTTCTGCATCCCCTCTTCATATGTGCTGGACGAGAACACACACTATTGAGTAGAAGAACCCAATGCCTTCAAGTTTCTTGGAGAATAAGTTATTAATTTCTTCACATAAGAAATGTTGCAGAGTCCAAAAAAATGATCTACCTTCCCCATTCCTTTTTCTATGCAAGAAAGGAAGAATGTGGGACAATGGATAAGCTAAGTCTTTGGTTTATATTTGGAAAGGAAATCTTTGGTTTACAATTGAAAAGTAATTTCAGATCATTTTCTCCACAGCTAAAAATGCAATAAAATTTGTGCGTAGAGGAAAAAAATTGTGCCTGATTTTGAGATAACAGAATTGATTGGAGTTTATCCATGGTTTCTCAATTCATGCTCAGTGATTTTTCACGAAAACTTTGTTTGCTTTATTTCGGCCCTCTTTGATTGATTCCCTTTAGGGTAGATTTGTCTTGTTATCACTCTTCTCTCTCCATTTGGCTAAGAAAAGAGGAATTCTTTACAGCTTGCACAGCTGCTGGAAACTATATAACTTTCTGCAACTTAAGTTCATAAAAATTGGCCCATGAATTGGATCACTTAAAGTTTTATTACATAGGCCACATTTGGTTTGCATTAATTTAACCAATTCAATCTTTAATTTAGTGATTAAATCAGTCCTTGGTCAATCCACAAATAAAATTTATACTCGATTCATAACATATGCATAATATATTGAACCAAAACCACAAGAAAATGCACTGAATAATTGATTAATTATCACCTATACATTTTTATTGGATAATTTAACGAAAGAGATAGAAGAAAGAAAATGACCTGGGTGCGGAAGCGGTCAATATTCCTCAAAGTTGTGAGTTTTGGGTGGGTTCTTGTCTGTCAAACACAACGTAGAAAATTAAGATCAGTATTAACCATTGTTGAATCACCAAAATGTAAACCACTTGTAGTAATCGCAAAGACAACCTCAATTGCATATTGCTCGGCAGGCAGCCCAAACGCATCCCATCCCATCGGGTGCAAAACATTAAAACCCTGCATACGTTTAAATCTAGCAAGAATATCGGTGGCAGTATATCCAAGAGGATGACCAACATGTAGCCCAGCTCCACTTCAACAACAGTCAACGGAACACCAAAACCTCATCAAAACAAGGCAACTCGCAAAAATATAGTAATTTGACAATAATTAGCAAATCAAAATTACATATATCGAGTATTAATCAATCCAAATATCTTAAATTGAGCACTTAGCAGAACCATTGAGATACACAACTATGCAAAGTCATAACATCCACGTAACGCAAAGGCAAAACAGACCAAAGATGACGGGGAACTCTTTATTTAAGGGAGTTCCAATGGACTTGTGCTGTCTTTGCAACTTTTTGGGTGCTATGGTGGGAGCGAAATCAGAGGTTGTTTGAAGATAAGCTTCGGGAGGTGGACTGTTTATGGGATCATGTTTGTCACTTATCTTCTTTTTGGGCGTCGGGGAACTCTTTATTTAAGGGAGTTCCACTCTTTTTGTTAGCTAGAGATTGGTTGGCGGTGTGTGCTTTGTAAGCTTTTGCTTGTTTTTAGTCGGTTAGGGATTTTTTTCTGTTGTCTTTTCATTGTTTTGTATTTAGAGGATGCCTCATCCTCTTCCCTCCTTTTTCAGTTTTATCAATAAAGCTTTTGTTGTTGATCAAAAAAAAAAACAGACCAAAGATGACCTGGCCAGTCATGATTCTAACAACTAATTGCAGAGTTGATCATTCAGACCTTTCAATTCATAGATGTAGCTCTCGGACCTATGAATGGGGATATTCCCAAAACTCACAAATAATCTAATTGTGAGTTTCTCTAACAAAATGCAGTTGACACTCTTCTCCACACCTAATCTTGTTGTGTTCCTTGAATGTCATGCAAACCGAGCCCACACAACCAGCATTATACATCTCTCTTTCAGAAGTCTGTAAGAGTTTTCCCCTAAATTTTAACGAATAACACTTCTCACACTATAGCACCCCTAAATTTTGAATTTTGAGAAATTAACACATATGGCTCCCCCAATACTCTGGCTCCTCCACCATTTTTTCTTTCCTCTAATAAGGAAAAGTTCTCAAAAATTGATTCTGTTTGAGGTTAATTCTTCTTGTTTTCATTTTCTTCCACACCAACTCTAGTCATTCCTGTTCTCAAGCATACGCTTGCTTAAAAATTAAAGGCATTGCTTTCAAGCAAAAACCTTAATAAGACCATCACCAATCCTTCACCAATTTCTTCATCTAATTTGATTCTAAGTTTGAGTAAAAAGTTTGATTTGATATGAACTACTCCAATCCTCACGTCAAAATCTTCTAAAAATCTCTCCTTTTATCCCAAATTTCACTTTCCATCAATTTTTTTTTTTTTTTATTTTAATCTCCAATGCTTCATCTTTTTAAATTTTCAAATCAAATTCAAATTTTAGGAAGGATTTGATGGAAAAAATGAAAGGATTAAAATTTGAGATAAAAGAGGTGAAGGATTGAAGATACGCTAAATTGATATGGCACATCACAAAGCTCACTAAAACAAAGTTTTCCACTAATTCACTTTCTTCCACACACACACACACAGACATATATATATATATATATGTATATATACATATAGAGAGAGAGAGAGAGAGAGAGAGAGAGAGAGGACCTAGGGTAAGGGAACATGTCGAGAACATAGAACTTAGGTTTAGAAGTATCGACATCATCAGGCGTTCGAAAAGTGCGATTGTCCTCCCAAAAACGCTGCCACCGAGGCTCAATTTCATGGAAAGGGTAAGCCCTCCTCTGTTTCTGCTCCTCGATGACTTCTCTGCTCAATTCCTCACTCACAACAGTACCTCCATTACTACCCAAACTACACACTCCAACACCAAAACAACTTCTTCTCCTTCTTCCTCCTCCCCCGCCGATTGTGTGTCTCCGCCGCCGGGTGGACAACAGGAATGTGCGGCAGCGGAACGGAGGCGGTTGCGGAAGACCGTGAATTTGGAAATGAGATTGTGATGCTTGTAAGTTCATTGTTGATAGGGTGGGTCTGAGTTGTGAGGATTGGAGTGGATTGGTTATGTTGAAGATTGAAGCTTTTGTGTGTTTGTGTAAGAGATAATGTTGGTGTTTGGTGGTAAATTGAACCGATCGGCCCGAATGAGTTGGGCCAACCCTTGGGAGGAAGTGTCACCATTGATCGGGTGAAATAGATATAGGGCAAGTACACATTTTATTATATTTCAATCTCTAGTTTTTTTTTTTTTTTTTTTTTTTCAGGTTTTTAATTGTTACACTTTAATCCTTAATTTCAGAGTCAATTCAAAATTAGTAACGAAAAGAAATTGTGAGTGGTAAAACTTGAACTCTGACATTACACAACTATCATTTTGATAATTAAACATGACACGTAATAAAATAATTAAACAGTGCTCTTAATGGGATGATTGAACTTTGAAGTTGATCGAATAATGCGTAAAAGAAATTAGAATAAGTTGTTTATTATTACTTGTAATATTACAAAGATGAGACACGATCTCATCTAAAGTGGAACAAAATAGAAAGTAATACTTAAATCTCTCAATAATACTCAACCGATAATCACAAATAAGCAATACATTTAAAAGCAAGGTAAAGTCCTTAGGCATGTAATTTTAAATCTACAAAAAGTTCTTTTAAGATTTCTAACTTACAAAACTTTGGTATTAAAAAATCCCATCTAATCATCCAGTCAGAAAGTCATCTATTTAGTTTGGTTTTTGCAAGTTCATTAAGTAAAGTCAAACAATGTGTTTATATTTGTTTATATTTTTTTGATAACCATGTGGTAATTTTTCCCCACACAAGGTATTTTGAAATTTTACATAAAATGGTCTTAAAATATACATTTTGTAATATACAAAAACAAAGAAATGAAAACAGTTTCAAGCACATGTATTTTTCCCCCCTTGGGGGTATGTGTTTGTCCATTTCAAATTGTTACATTGATAGGTTTTGTGCACACTCAAGTCTAGGCAAGTTCTCTTGTTTTTCTTGATCTAGAAACATTTGAAATTTCTTCATTTTCATTTATCTTGTTCTTCCATGCACATCTCCAAATTCATGAAGGGCAAACAGAGCAATAAGCAATGGCTAATCCTTTCTTAGGAAGGAGCAAAATGCCTACTGAGGCTGGTAATAGTTTTACAAAATCATCCTTGGAGTCTCACAATAATTACAAAAATCCAAGGATCAAAACAGCCCCTCAAAATTGACTACTATAGAGGAGAGAGCCATATAAAAAAGCAAATATACGTAACAAAAATGGTTTGTCCATAGGCAGGCCAGCAACATATTCCACAAAACATCATTCACTTTGCCGATGTCAACGCTTCAAAATCTTCGACAGCTTGGTTCATTGCATGAAGAATCATCTTCTTTATCTGTTTTTCCACACACATAAAAATAAATAAATAAACAAGACAATGAGGTTAACCAGATTGAGTTTGCTGGACTTAGTGCATTCACCCAGCTTGTCAACCACACACAACAGGAGTATTTGTTTAGTTGCAGAGAAATAAGAGGAAAAGAAAGTAATAGCGAATCTAGGTTATAGTTGAAAAATTGAACTCGTTGAGCCAGGATGATCAGATTAGGATTCAATTTACTGAAGTTTTTTTCTTTTCTTTTCTTTTTTTCACTTTGAGGCAAAATGGAGAGTACCTACAATTGCGGCCAATTAAACAACATATGCTAAAGTAAAGAGAGGTCATACCTCCAGTTTGTCTTCTCTAACCTTGTGATCCTTTGGCAGTCGTCGAAACTCCTCTGTTAATCGCAAGCACTCATGGACATTTTCAGGAGAAACAAAATCCACTGCAACTTTCGTACACGACTGTGTGTAAAGCAGAGAATAAACAAGTTAGATTGAATAAAATAGACATATAATATCAATCCAATACATATATATATATGATAAGCATGTTAGTGAATTGCATGCCCAGCTGAAATTTCAAAAAGTCAACAAAGAAAATTTTTACTTTGAGATTCCTGACTGATGTGGCAACCAGCAGAATAAACACCGCTTCTCCAAATCGTTGCTCAAAAGTCCATGGTTCTATCCCTGTAACGTTTTTAAAAATTCTGTAAGTTGCCAAGTTTCAAGGTAATGGTTTTAAACAACGGTATTGAACAGTATTAACCGATATATCAGTGAATAACAGTATCGGAAGTCCAAAATCTCAATACGTATCGGCCCATATTTAAAACCCCATAGTGAAAACAATGCTGCATTATATTAAATACTGACCAAATTCCTCCTTGAGTTTCCTTTTATGCTCCAAAGTCAAGTAGAAGCATTGGTCATGAATTGGATGAACAACCTAAATCAAAGCAAGAAGCTTTCTCAGAGCTCAATACACATTTGACATGGCTAAATTGAAGCTTCATTAGTTAAAAATTACCTGTTCAACCGGAGAACAAAAAGTGTGCCTAAATTCAATAGAATGCTTCCTGAGATACTCTTGTAACTTCGGTACATCTTCCCTCCTAAAGATGTCCCACAGTGCACCGGCCGTTTCATCTAATGCTCCTTCAAGTAAAGCCGAGCATCCTTTGTGCTCGCCTACTGGATCTGTGATTACTTCACTAGTTTCAGATGGCTGTTTCACGTCTATCTCATTACCCACATGCTTAATATCGGAGGCATCCAATTCAAGCTTTTGTTCACCAATGCCATTACAAGGTCTGGTGAGATCTTCATTCATCTCTCTAATGAGGCGCTCTCGTTCATCTTGAGCTTGGTGATTCTTTTTCAACTTTTCAATTGCAGCACGCTGCTGATCATCTGAGTCTATTTCTGCAGTGTGCATCAAAATATTCACCTGCTCCAAATAAAAATTTGCAAGCTTATTTCTTCAAGTACAATGGTTATATAACATAATTACAGGAAGAACCGTTATCAGGGAACTTATGCATAACCAATTAATGTGAGAGACAAAAATTTGTAACCATTTAAGAAGAAATAACCATGTAGAACCCCACATCGCAACAACACAATAAAATGCAAACAAATCATCATTTCAGAAAATGCAAATGTTATAATATAATTCTGACAGGTTGTAAAACCCTACCGCATCTGACATATCACAATGAAGCTTAGTTACAGAATCTCCTCTGCCAAGTTCTTCGGCAATGCCATATGCAATATATGTCTTTGGACCTAAGTCGGGCTTTAGGGCACCTTGAGGCAATTTCACAGCAAGATTAAGAAAACCATCCCTAGGATCCGTGTATCCCTGGAAAGGCAATGCACTAATAAACTCGTCACAGTGGCGTGGCAACAAATCCTCAAATTTGTCAGAAGGCGGCCAATCCTTAAGCTTGAGCATCTCAGGCCAGAAATTTCCATATCTTCTTCCTTCTGTATAACCTTTGAAAAATTGCCGCGTATTTATCTCCACCTACAAATGGTAACAGAAAACAAGATTCAGAGAAAAGAAAACCATTTGGCAATTGCCGCTGATATTTCACATAGGTATGATTTGAAAGGAACAAGAGAAACATGTGAGACAGTAAAAGTATATGGTCAGACATAGGAATTTAGTATTAAACCCAGAATGAAACCCATAGTATAATAGTAATACAACTACTGATACATAAGTTGCAATTTATATTCAAGACAGCTATAACATTAAGACCAAGAGGTGTGCAAGATGTTTATGCACATTCCATCAAACAAATACTTCCTTCTGCAAAGTAGTGGACGAAAAAATGACAATCAAAATGCCAGAAGAGAAGATAGGACTAACCTCACAACCAGCCAGGCAATCAATAGCCTTAACTTCTGACATTTTTGAACTAATCTTTGAATCCAAATTTTCACAGAGTGCACGCCACATGACCATTGGCTCCCAGCTTAAACCAGTCGTCTGCTCAAGGACATCTCGAACAATCACTGGTTTCCCGTTTGCCCAATGCATCTGGAACTGCAAGTGCTCTTCCTCCTTTATGGCATCCCTTGAATCGGGGCAATACAAATAGTTGTCATCAGAGCCTTCCCTAGAAGCTGCTCTCCGTGACATCTTGCTCCACTCATCAAGATAATTGGGCCTCGTGATTGTTTGCTCTACCTCACAATTCTTTGATATTTCTTCCGCTTTAGCCTCCAAGATCGAAGTCCAACAATGTGGAAGAATACGCTTGAGCTCTAGCACACAATTCCCACATCCACCCATTTCTTTTGGGGCGCAAGTTACACTTCCATCATCACCGGCAACCCATTTCGTCAATGGCTTATTATGATCCGTAGAAGTTTTCACTTGACAAGAATTTGGTAGAGGATCTCCACCATGAATGTAATCGTAGCCTCTATTCATATATTGAAAAACTACTTTGTTGCCACCTCCTAAAGCCTCTCCATTGCGAATCTCACGGCAACAACTAAGACAGAGCTCAAAGGAGCAATTTGGGCAGCTTCTATGAAGGTCAATGATTGAAGTTGCACAGTAGTTACTGCTCCAGGGCCAAGAAAATAGTTTAAAATTAAGGTACTGCAGAATTATAGATACAAATAAAATCACAGTTACTCTAAAGCAAAGAAAAGAAGACAAGCTTACCAATACACACGCTCATCATTGGAACAAATGGACTCTTGTATCTTAATGGAAGATGATTCCACCCCTATATGAATATATTATTAGTCAGCAACATAATTCAAGTACTTAGGACTCTTTGAACGTTTGAAAGTTATATAACCTTGAATCAGAGACTCTATCTCCATCTCCTCAGCTTGTTCTTGATGAATTTGTTTTACAAATGGAAGAAGTGACTTGATCAAATAATGAAGATGCTGAAACTTCTCCCGATCAGTGAGATCCCTCTTTGATGTCTAAAGAATGAAAACTGTCAACAATTTCACCCAAAAAAAAATCAAGACACTTTTCAGTATGGCAGAATCCCACCTTAATCATGCCATGCAACTGCAAACACAAGTTACAATTGCAATTTCCACGGCAAAATGGGCATTTCTCTGCAACTTCTTCTTCTGACAAGTGTAGGTACCTATTTACCAGAGAGAGAGAGAGAGAGATAGAGAACAAATGAAATTATTTAAAAGAAAACATTGTAGCAACTAAGAAATTATCATCAAAAGAAAAAGAAAACACGTAGAAACGTTACCACTGCTTGATACACTGGATACAATATAGTTTCTGTTTGCAGTTGGTACAAGGAACCACAATTCTTCTATCATTCCTCCTGCACTGATGGCACTTCAAACGCTCTTCCCCATTTCTGCTGACAAGTATGCTAGTATAATTCAGTCAATTCTTTCTCCAAGAACCCACGAAATATATTAAAAAATATTCAAAATATATGAATACAAGAGAGTTCTAACCTTATGATTCTTTGTTGTGCATCTGTCAACACTATTTTGTTCACTTTTGATAACTGATGAGCAGGAAGAAGAGGAAGAAGAAGATACGCTACAAAATAACAAGTTCCCAGACTCATAGATTTTCTCTTTCATGTCCCTTGAACTTTTTCTCATGTTCAAACCATATTGATCTATACTTTTGTTCTTCATGCCTTCAACTTCAAAATCACCAAAAAAGAAATCACCCCCATAGATTTTCTCTTTCATGTCCCCTGAACTTTTTCTCATGTTCAAACCATATTGATCTATACTTTTGTTCTTTATGTCTTCAACTTCAAAATCACCAAAAAAGAAATCACCCCCAAAGCCACTATTTTTGTTCAGGACAGCACGCCTTCTTTCTGAAATCCTTTTACCATGTGAGCTTTCAAGTTCTTCAGGCAATGAAGTTTCTGATCTTGTCAATGATGACCATTCATTTTCCTTTCCCTCATCTTCACATTCATCATCTTCCCAGTCACTCACAGAAAAGGCATCATTAAGAATTCTTTTCTTGTTTAAGGAACCATTAAGCTTCTGTGATTTTTTTTTCCTGTTGCATCTTTCATTTTCTTGGGCTATCCTTGTTTTTTTTAATGAACTTTTTGCTCTCGCGGATGATGTACCCTTTATGTTCTCTTCCACTTCCTCCTCTTCATCATCATCATCATTAGCAGCATCTTCAGTATTATCACAGCTAAATTCACATTCAAGAGTCCTTTGTTTACTTAAGGTACCCCGACGCTTCTTAGAGGTTCTTCTATTACTTGACCCTTCGCTTTCTCGAGCTCTCTTTTTCCTAAGAAGCGTCGGTGATGACCCCACACTGTGTTCATTCACATCATCATATTGGAATTTACTGGTAATAGATTTATGTTCAAGGCACCTTTTTTTGTTTGAGGCACCCTGGAGTTTCCTAAAGATTTTTCTACCATTTGAACCCTTGCTTTCCTGAGTTTTCCGTCTATTCATATCTGAAGACTTTGTTCTTTCTGGTGATAATCCTGCACTGTACTCCTTGTCACCACCACCACCACCACCATCATCATCATCTTTGCACTCACCCATGATACGTCCATGCGCAAGGCTTATTTTCTTATTTGACGCACCCTGGAGCTTCCCTGCTGTTCTTCTACTTCTTTTCTTAACTAAATTCTTTGTTCTGATTGGGGATGATCCTGGACTATCCTCCTCCTTGCCCTCCTCTTCTTGTTCTGTTAATCGAACATCATAATTCCTGATCCCTTGAACTTTTCTTTTCCTTGTAACCTGAGAAACAGCTGGGCTTTTAGGAGCGTAGCAGTTCAACTGCTCTTGCTTCTCAATTAACAATGACATTCTCACTGCAGATTAAAAAAGATAGCAATCACATTAACTTTGAAGAGTAATTCAACAATTTCAACTTAAAACATGGTTTTGAGTCAAATCAATTACGTCAATTCAGCCTATTACATTGCAGGCAACATGAATCAAAACGTGTCGTGTGTGTTTGTGTTAGCATGCATTCACTCGTGCTCACCATCAAATCAAAGCCTGAATGTAGCATACACACATCAACTGAAGATAATACATGGAAAAATAAGATAGCTGGGTTGGCTCAAGTCAACCGAACTGGGTCAACAAATTCAACACACTTTACCGTGCATAATTTAGTAAAAATCTTATCTAAACTAATTCACAGTTCTGAAGCACCAGCATTGATTCATGATTCAAATATTGAATATTTCACATGCAATCCATGTATATACATCATCATCATCTATACTATTATATACTGTACACACAATTTCGTGTTAACACAAGTTCTTTCAACTTTCTTTTTTATTTCCCAAAATTATGCCCCAAAACAAACCCACATTCCAAACGATTGTAACTGTCATCCATTTTTACACATGCATGTGTGGACATCTGCTAGTATCTATCTATCTATATCAGTACTACTATAAAGAGAAGCCTTCTCATGGTGTTTATGTCTCATATTTTAGGTTTTCCAAAGTACCCTTATATCAGTTATGTGGGCAATTATGCCCTAAATTTATTTATTTATTTATTTTTCAAATCTCTCAACTTTTCATTTTTTCAAATCCATTTCAATTTTCAAACTTTTGAATTCAATCATCATACAGTTTATAATCTTATTTTCTGAAACAAAATGACCATATGTGCACGCATCATGTGCGCCACCACTTCTAGTATATATATATATATACACACAGGTATATGAAATCAAAGAAAAACATTGATTGATCGAATCAATGATCGATGGTGGCCTTACCTAATCAATCGAAACTTTCAGTCCATTTTTGTTTCAGAATCTTAAAATTCAAAACATAGTTTTCACCGATTACAGCAATTCAGCCCATCACATTGGAGGCACATTAATCAAAATCTCTCATGTGTGTTTGTTTCAAAGCCTACATCACCTGAAGATAATCCATGGAAGACTGATAGTTGGGTTGACTCAAGTCAACACAATTCAAACTAGGGTTTTTTCAGAGCCTAAAATCTACACAAATCAGTGAAAAAACTCATCAAAACCAATTCACAGTTTTAAATCACCAGCATTGATTCATAATCCAAATATCAAATATTTTACGTTTAATATACGTATACTCACAATCATATATATATGAAAACAGAGACCCCCCCCAAAAAAAAAAAACATTGATTGATTGAATAAGAAAGGTTTAGAAGACCAGTGATCGATTGTGGACTCACCTGATCAATTGAAACTTTCAATCAATTTGTGTTTTCGGAACTCAGAATTCAAAGAAACACGAATGTTAAAAGTATGGAATTGAAAAAACAGATCTAATCTTGAAATTCTGAGAAAACTATTAGAGTCCAGTGAAGATCGATTGATAGAAAGAAGAAGACGAAGAAGAAGAAGATGGAAATAAAACTGTAGATAGAGAATATATATATATATATATACATATATATCTTCTGCGTGAATGCGTGAGTATATATTTAGAGTGAGAAAGGTATATATACCATACTAGAGAGAGAGAGAAACAGTGGGCTGATGGGGAAAAAGATTCTTTTCTTTTCTTTCCTAGGAAACAAAGTTATTACTATAATTATACGTGGAGTCATTGGGAAAGTCAGAATAGTGTGGGCGTTTTGTTGGGATATGAATATGATCATTAAATTTGAAGATTTTTTTTGGGTAACGGCCATTAATTATCGATTTGTATTCCTATATTTGTTAGTTGAATTATAATTAATTTTACAAATTTGATAAAATTACATGAAGTTTTTTTTTAAGTTTTTTTTAAAAATTAATTATATAACATTTAATTTTATTTTTATTAATTATATAATTAAAAAAATAAAATTGTTATCATTTTTTACTTACTCATGAAAGTAAACCACACTAAAAATTTTTATCACTAATGTTACTCAAGTTTATTCATGTGTCTATAAATTATCTGTATTAGTTTCAATCATTTAAATTTTACTAAAAAAATATTAGTATTTATTTGGTCATATTTATCTTTTATTATGTGATACCATTGATCAAAAATATCATATGCACATAATAAATGAGAATATATTTTTTTTTGTCAAATTATGCTTAATTAATAGGAAAAATTACACATAAGTGGAAATTGGACAAAATATTTACAAATTAATGAAAAAATTTATAAATTTAATTATAGGAAAAATTACACATAAGTGGAAATTGGACAAAATATTTACAAATTAATAGAAAAGTTTATAAATTTAATTATTAATATTTAAAATTTCTATTAATTTGATTTTTTTTTCTGAAAAACTACACTAATGTATTGTTTCCCCGGATTAATAGATAGCATATATTTATCTATACCATATATATAAAGGGAACACAACACCCTAAGGTCCTGTTTATTTTGGGAGATAGAAGGGGGATTGAGATTGAGATGAAGGTTGTGCCCACTAATGTTATGTTTGTTTTGGGAGATGAAGAAGGTATTCATAATCCTCTCCGAATTAAGATGGGTCTTCGGGGAGAAGATTAGGATGGAGACTTAAGACTTGGTATTAGAAAATAGACCGCTGGACTTATTTTTTTATTTTTTACATGTTGGGCATTTTTTTATTTTTTTTTAACATTAATGTTTAATTTTTTGTATTTTTTGTTAAGTAAAAATCATAGTTTTATTTTATTTATTTTTTACATGTTGGCCATTTTTTTTTAACATTAATGTTTAATATTTTTGTATTTTTTTTATTTGTTTTATTATTTTATATTTATTTTATATGAAAATAATTTAACAATCTCTACACCAACAACTATTATCAAAACAAACACAATTTTACTGAATCCACTCACTATTAATCCCCTCACTACGAATCTCCTCCATTCTACTTTTGAAAATAAACGGGCCTACTTGATGTCCTGAAACCATCCTATCTCCTTAATGTCAAGTGGAAAAAATAGAATGGCACACTTATCACTTAAGTGACGCACACTTACACACTTATCACTTGAACCTAACACCTTACATTTGATAAAGAACATACTTATCACTTGAGTGGCACACAAAATATAATATTGTGTTTGGTTTTAATTTTTTAAATTTAATTGTTTGAAAATTTAATTTTTTGTTTTTCATATTTTTTTGTTTTAGTCAATATTTTAAAAAATTTAAATATTTTTTTACTCTTTCATATGCACATTACTTAAATATATTTTAAAAATAAAATATTTATATAAAAATATTTTAAAAAATCAATAAATATATAAGAATATGAAAAATGTATTGAATTTTTGTATTTTTTTATATTTTTGGTATTTAGTGAATTTTTAAAATATTTTTTTCACAAATATTATACTTATAAAGTATATTTTATGTTAGGTGTATTTAAAAATAAAAATAACAATTGCTTAAAATATTAAAAAAATTTAGCAAAAACAAGAAAAATAAAAAAAATTAAATTTTCTGAAAAGTGAATCCTGAGTTATGAAACTAAACAAGTTGAATATTATTATTATTTTTTTTTTATACTTATTTGAATTACACACATATCGCGTGTGTCAACTACTAATATTCAATGTTCTGAAACCGAATTATTAGTTAATTAACGTAAACTACATTCTCTGTACAGTAAAAAAATATTGTAAAAAATGAACTAATAAGAGAAAGATTATGAGTGAATAGTTTAGAGGAAGAAAAAAAACTAGGAGTGAAGATATTTTAAGAAAAATGAACTAATAAGAGAAAGATTATGAGTGAATAGTTTACAGGAAGACAAAAACACTGGAGTAAAGATATTTTAAAAGTTTGGTAAATATGAAAAAAAAACATAATGTAATATATTCACACACATAGTGTGTGTCACTCATGAGTAATTGTGGGGTAGCAAAAAGTAATTTTTGTATGCGGATAAATTATATGTCATGTGGTATCTTTTACTATTGTGATTTTGATAGTAAAATTCATTACATTTATATTGGATATTTGAAGAATAGTAAGGGACATAAAGCTAGATTGGTGTTTAGTGAAAAATAATGTGACATGATATTCTATTAACATACAAAAATTTCTCGATAGTAAGAGATAGGCATTTATCTGACTGGATTTAAGTCACAAAAAATAAAATTTAAAAAAAAAAATATTGTGCCTAAGCTGAACACTCCAAAGTTTAACCCCAAGCCTAACCTTAATAATTACATTATATGAAGTCCATCCAATAAGGTCGAGTATTAATTTAAAAAATTAATTTAATAAAAAAAATTATGGTCATGATGGCACAAATATCTAATTATTATTCATTATATCTTAAATTTAAAGTTTATCAGGTATATTTTTCTTATTCGGGGTATATTTTTATTTAAAAAAATAAATAAATAAATAAATTATATATGTTAATTATATAATATATTAATAATCGACTAGGGTCAAATACTGTTTTTTGGCTTAACTGAGGCTGCGTTTTTTGCTGCAAAAACGCAGCTTTTAATTATTATGTTGCCAAAAGACCACAAAGCCTCCGTTTAGGAAGTGGGTTGGTTTTTTTGGCTTTTTGACTTTTCTGTCTATTTTAGTCTGGGTTAAAAAGTTTGGTTTGGGAATGACTTTTTGGCTTTTTTGTGAGAGAAGAGTGTAATGATTATGAGTTGAATGTGATGTTTTGTTTTTTGTAGTTAAAATAGTCTATTTTATCTTTCGTGACTAAAATAGTCAAAAAAACCCCACTTTAGTTCTTCCCAAACGGACCCTAAGTTATTACTATAATTATATTTGGAGTCATTGGGAAAGTTAATAGTGTGGGCGTTTTGTTGGGATATGAATATGATCATTAAATTTGAAGATTTTTTTTGGTAACGGCCATTAATTATCGATTTGTATTCCTATATTTGTTAGTTGAATTATAATTAATTTTACAAATTTGATAGAATTACATTATTTTTTTAAATTAATTATATAACATTTAATTTTATTTTTATTAATTATATAATTAAAAAAATAAAATTGTTATCAATTTTTACTTCCTCATGAAAGTAAACCACACTAAAAATTTTTATCACTAATGTTACTCAAGTTTATTCATGTATCTATAAATTATCTGCATTAGTTTCAATCATTTAAATTTTACTAATTACTAAAAAAAATACTAGTATTTATTTGGTCATATTTATCTTTTATTATGCGATACCATTGATCAAAAATATCACGTGCACATAATAAATGGGAATATTTTTGTTTTTTAGTCAAATTATGCTTAATTAATAGGAAAAATTACACGTAAGTGGAAATTGGACAAAATATTTACAAATTAATGGAAAAGTTTATAAATTTAATTATTAATATTTAAAATTTCTATTAATTTGATTTTTTTTTTTTTCCTGAAAAACTACACTAATGTGTTGTTTCCCCTGATTAATAGATAGCATATATTTATCTATACGATATATAAAAAGGGAACACAACACCCTAAGGTCCCGTTTATTTTGAGAGATAGAGGGAGGATTAAGATTGAGATTGAGATGAAGGTTGAACCGAATGTTTTGGAACCCGGACCGGATCGGCCGGTCGAACTGGTTGGACCGGACCTTTGTCCGGTCCGGTCAACCCCCTAAAACCGGACTAGGAGCAAAATCGGCCTAGAAATGAAAAACTGCCGGACCCGGCGGTCGAACCGGGAAAACGAGTGACCTGGACCAAGTTTGGT